CCGAAGTGAGTAGATTAAAGTCAGTTAAATCTGTCCTCTAAACTTCAGTGCTCCTGGCCATCCACCAGAATAACCGGTTTGGGACCGGTCCAGTTTGGAACGTCACGCCGGTTAGCCAAACCGTGCAGAGTCGGTGCATATCAACACTCCCACTCACCGCTACTGCACGTCGTTCCTCTTCTTGATTCCACTTGCTTCGCGAAGGAACGCTAGCGACTTCGCTCCCAGTGCTTTCGTAAGCATGTCAGCTAACTGCTGCTTCGTGTCGATGTAGGCCACTGGAACGTTCCACATTCTCTCGAATAAAGTGGTGACGGATATCCACGTGCTTGGTCCTCGCGTGATATCCAGCGTTGCTTGCAAGCGCAATAGCACCTTGATTGTCTTCCCAGACCTGCGTCGCTCCCACTTGCTCGTGACCCATATCCTTCAGCATGGCACGTGTCCACAGTACCTCTTGAGTACAAAGGCTTAGTGCCATGTACTCTGCTTCCGCTGAGCTAAGCGCAACCGTCCTCTGGTACTTGGATTTAAACACCACCGGAGCGTTCCCAATCATGACCATGACGCCAGACACTGAACGTCTGTCGTCAATGTTGCTTCCCCAGTCTGCGTCCGTAAACGCTTCTGCCTTGACAGCTTACGTTCCAAATCCACTCGTTCCACTTTTGTATACGATACCATGATGGCGAGTGGACTTCAAATACTGCAGAACACGAATCGCTGCCTTCCAGTGTTGCGTTCCAGGATCCTCTAGGAAGCGTGACAGCTGCGTGACAACGTAGGCAATGTCCGGCCGAGTACAGGTTGTGATGTACATGAGGCACCCGATTAAGGAACGATACGGTCGTGACCACATTTCAGCACGTTCCTTTTCCGTAGTCGGCGACATCATCTTGGACAAATTTCAGATTTGCTGCACAAGGGTTCTCCACCATCTTGGCGTTCCGTTGATTGAATCGTTCCACAATGTCGTCAATGCACCGAGTTTGCTTGATCATCAACGTTCCACATTCTCTATCGTGGTCAATCTCCATTCCCAAAATGAATTTGGCCTCGCCAAGCTCCTTCATCTTGAATGCGCTCTTCAGGGCGTTCTTGACCTCGCGAATTTCGTCGCGCGTCTTGGCCGCAATGATCATGTCGTCTACATATAGACATACGTACACGAATGCGTTTTTGGAACGCTTGACGTAGACACACTGGTCGGCTCCGCAACATTTGAAACCATTCTGCAGGAACACGCGATGAATAGTCTTGTTCCATGCACTTGGAGCTTGCTTCAAGCCGTAGATGGCCTTTAGCAGTTTGCACTTCATGCCTTCAGCATTCTCGAGACCAAGTGGAACGTCCATGTAGACCAAATCCACCAAACCACTGTTTAGGAGCGCTGTGTCGGCATCCAGTTGCTCCATAATGTAGCCGCACGTAGCGCAAACAGCGAGTACAACTCGAATCGAGTTCATATTCGCAACTGGGGAGTACGTCTCAAAGAAGTCTATTCCAAACTTCTGCTTGAACCCCTGCGCTACTAGGCGTGCCTTGTAACGGATAGCCCGGCCGTTCTCGTCACGCTTCTTCGTGAACACCCAGCGACATCCAATGGAACGGGTTGTCGTTTCACGTGGGACGAGGGTCCATGTTCCGTTCCGGGAATGCGAATTCAGCTCTGACTGCATAGCACGACGTCACTCTCCTGCTTCGTTACTGGCAATAGCTTCTGCGTACGTGTTAGGCGTATCTGGAACGCCACCGATGCTGACCGCGTACGCCAACACTGCCTCTGCGAGCAAACCATCTTCGTCGATTCTGGCACGCTTAGAAGATGGCGGTCCATCACTTCCTTCCACATCTCCATCGTCACCATTCCCAAGTAGAAGTAACGGCTCACGAGGGCGCGCAGATCGCTCCGTTTCAGGATGGAAGATCATCCGGTCCTCATGGAACGATGGAGGCTGCGAATGGAACGTTGCCAAATCCAACCCATTTAGCCTGGGTTCCTCCGGCGCGGGTAGCTGCTGTATTTCTGCGTTCCGTTCCGGTTCAAGGTCGTCCATCTCAATGTCTTGAGCGGGCTCCTCTGCTTCTTCCATCGGTTCATCCTGAGCAGGCTGACGTTCCACTCCAGATATTGGAACGATCGTATCATCGTTCCTCGTCACATGGATGACCGTTCCTGAAGCTGGCGACTGCGTGTCATAGATTCCGCCCACCTCACGCTCGTCCAGCTTGACCGACCGTGTCACCTTGACCTTCGACGCATCCATGTCGTACACACGATATCCTTTCACGTTCTCAGCGTACCCGAGGAACGTGCACTGGAAGCTTTTGGGTTCCAGCTTCGTTCTCATCACGTCGTTCACATGAGCGTACCCTTGTGACCCAAATCCACGTAGGTGTTCCATCCGTGGCTTCACCTGGAACGACAGCTCCTACGGGGTGACATCAGAGTTTGATGTGTTCGTGGAACGGTTGATGAGATACACTGGAGTACTAACCGCTTCCGCCCACCACTGCGTCGACATAGACTTGTAGTGCAGCAGGCTTCTTGGCTTCTCCATGATGGTACGGTTCATGCGCTCCGGCCACTCCATTCTGCTGAGGGCTGTATGGAACGCTACGCTGATGCACGATCCCGTTCCGTTTGCATAGTTCCAAAACTGTCTTGTTCACGAACTCCGTTCCATTATCGGAACGAAGACATTTTAGACGTTCCCCCCACTGTGTTTCGTACAATGCCTTGAGCTCCTTCAGTTTGCTGCCCACCTCGCTCTTGCTCTTCATAAAGTACGCAACGCCAACCTTGAGTAGTCGTCTACGAACGTCAGAACATATTTGGCACCACCCTTTGAGATCGTTCTCATTGGGCCCATTACGTCCGTGTGTACTAGTTCCAACACACGCGTCGTTCTCATTAGCGATCGTGACGGGAACGTCGTCACGGTCTGCTTTCCCTTCACACATCCACCGCACAAAGTCTCGTTCCCATTTGTCATATGTGGGATACCAATTGTGGAACGTTGAGTCTTCGTCAACGCGTCCTTGTTCGGGTGACCCATGTGAGCGTGCCAAAGCTCCCACTCGCTGTTAGGACCGGCGTATTGCACGAAGTGTACCTCCTCCTGCTGACAGTCCAGCAGGAACGCCTTACCGACCTTCTTCCCTGACGCTATCTCAGCGTTCCATCCCCAAATTACACAGCTGGAACGCTGGAACTCCACGCTCATGCCTCGTTCCGCGAGCTTCCCGACCGACAATAACCGTCTATCGAGCCCCAGAATGTGGAGCACGTCCACCATTCGGATGCGTTTACCGTCCAAACCAGTCAGCTTGACCGTTCCAGTTCCTGCGACGCGCAGCTTCTTGCCATCTGCAATCGTCACGTTGATGCCACTGTCTAGTGCCTCGTACCCAAATAGGTCGTTTCGGTGAGGGGTCATGTGCGACATCGCACCACTATCAATCAGCCACCCGGCCGAGCGCTCCCCACCAACTGCAAACACTGCATCGTCTTGACTGCTCTTCTTTGCAGCAGGACAGTCCCGCTTCATGTGACCCACTTGGTCACAGTTGAAACACTTGCCCTTGAAACCAACGTTCCGTTTCGGACCGTTCCATTTTCGATCGTTCCATTTTTGACCGTTCCCTCGGCCGTTTCGGACCGTTCCATTTTCGATCGTTCCATTTTTGACCGTTCCCTCGGCCGTTCCGGAACTTGCCTGCGTTCTCATTCACTTGGAACGCCTTCTTCATGGTTTCCTTCTTCTCGAGTCGCTCGTACTCCTTCAACAGCTTTTCCTTGGCCTCGATGAGCGTCACACCCTTGGCGTTCTCCACGATAGACGAAATGAGCTCGTACTCATCAGGGAGGCTGCTCAGCAGCACCACCAGCTGGCGTGCCTCGTCCATGGTCTCTCCTAGCGTCTGCAACCCGACGATCAGCTCATCAAACGCATCCAGATGCTTGGCCATAGTCGATCCACTTTCCATCTTGAACTCGTGGAGGCGACGCGTCATCGTCACGCGGTTGTGGAGCGTGGTGCGGTTATAGAACTCTCGCAGCGTTCCCCAAGCTTCTATGGAACGAGTGGCCGGCCGAATCTTGGTCTGATGCTGGAGTTCCACTCCCTGAGCGATGATGCCGAGCGCCTTGGCATCATTGACGAGCCACGCCTCGGTGATCTCGTTCTCCGGCTTGTCGGCTTGAATATGCGCAAGCAGGCCCTTCCTGGCTAGCGTCATGCGCATATTGTACTCCCAGTGGAAGTAGTTCCCACTCCCTAGGAGGACTTCGGCGCGCTTGGTCGTCGTCATGTTTTGGAACGTTCCGGTAGAGTTGAGCGTTGCAGCTGTTAACCTGTTGTTATTGTTAAAGGCAAATGCCGAAGTGAGTAGATTAAAGTCAGTTAAATCTGTCCTCTAAACTTCAGTGCTCCTGGCCATCCACCAGATTAACCGGTTTGGGACCGGTCCAGTTTGGAACATCACGCCGGTCAGCCGAACCGTGCAGAGTCGGTGCATATCAACAATATTGCTGATTGCGTGAATGACATTGAATCAAGTAATAGATTTGCGGTTTCACAAAATGATCGATTACGCTATTATTTTTTTAAAACTGACTAGTATAGCGCTATAAAACTACACTGTTTAGTACAAGTAACAAGTTCACCTACGTGTTCGAGAACGGGACATCCTACATGGTAGAGAGCTCCGTCAACGACAACGCTTCCTCGTCTCAGCAATCAACGCATTGTCTACCATCGATTGTTCCATTCGAACATATATTTCCAGCACTTGACAACATTACTTGGACACCAAGCGCATCCGTCGGAGGGGAGAACATCGAGTGTCCTGGGGGGTCTTGTTTCGAACATCCTTCAGCGGAGTTGACTTCGTTCTGTGCGTATCGAGTGTTTCAGGTTTCATTGCGTATGGGCTCGACATGACCATAAACGTGGAGTATCTGCCAACTCCTATCCGTCTTCCTAAGCCCCCACTCAATGGAGTCGCGTCATGTCCAGTGGTGGAAACACCAGGAACAGTAACACCGACTACAATGGCGCTACTTACCGGTAGACCCCTACCGACGACTGCTTCAAGGAGTCTGAAGGCTGCATCGCCCGTAGCGATTGAGGCGACCTCTTGTGAGTGTCAATCTATACCTCGTCCGTGTATTTTCTTGCATGGTCTAGGCAACCCGAACGAAAGGGAAGAATTGCAAGACACCCCGAAGTTGACAAAGGAAAAGTTCGGTGATATCCGTGGGCACGCTCCGTGCTGCACGTCAGTAAAGTACGCGGTCTTGAACACAGTTGACGTCGGGTGGAGGGATGAAACGCTGCAGCACAAGTTCTGTGATTTCTCGCTTTCCATGAGCGAAACCAGCGACTTGACATCCCATACAATATCAGACACGATCGTAGTGACACACTCCATGGGCGGCTTAGTGCTGGCAAGTGCACTCGCCACGGGGAAATGTAAGCTAGCTGCAAGCTCGACTTGGGTGAGTTTGAGTGCTCCGATGATGGGGAGTATGGCTGGAGACTTTCTTCAAGATATTTGTGACGGCAAGCATACGAAATTTGTAGCGGGGTTAATGAATATACTTGGCCAGTGCCCTATTACCGTGGCTAAGCAGTCGATCTACTACCAGAACGGGAAGTACAGCACCTTAGCGCTCAATGCGGCGTACTCTGCAGCCCAAGAAGCCTACCGTACCAACGTCAGTGCAGCTCTGTGTAGCAAAAGCTACATCGGCGTTTTATCAAAATTTTCTCCCTCCTGCTTAGTGGGAGGCACGGTAATCCCTCACAAGTCGGAAGAGAATGATGCTCTAGTTGAGTTTCAGAGCTGTCTGGGCGGCCTGGACCCTGACTTGTTTGGCGACAGCTACCTCGATCGATTTTACTCGGCCAATTTGGATCATGCTGACACTGCGTTCCTGACTCGCGACGGATTTTTCAGGGATTCTCAAAAACCATTTAAATGGTTCGAGTGTTTGCTTTAATATGCGCTTGCCGATAATAAACAATTTTCTCATAATTACTCCTGACCCCGGATAATAGCTAGTCTGCATCGGTAAAAAGTTAGGATTGTCGACGCTTGCTGCGGGCTGTGTCAGCCTCAGGAACTCTTGAAAAAGTTGTACCGCATCGCCCCTGTCCTAAGCGAACGCCCATGTTCGACGCTTACGGGTAAGGTTACTAGCAAATCTCATAATTAGTGCTAAAAAGTAAAAAAAAAAACCCAAGCTGATTCAGCTGAATATTCCGTTTGTGAATGACTTACCTCCAATATTGTACTCGTCACAAGTCCTTGACCCAAAATGTAGCCATCTGTTATGAAGATTCAGCATCCCAAATCCTATAGCAACAGTTAGATATAAGGGGTAAAATCGGGCGTAGATTTCAAAAATGTGGTCAGAATTAGCTGATTCGCAGTGGTCTCATTGTCGGCTCTGTAGGTGCTCGTCACAGTCGTAACAGTGCCGTGTGCTATCTGTAGACACTCAGCAACCAGGCCCCGGGTTCGATGCCCTCTGAAGAGGCCATCTTCCTTAGCTTTGACCATGAAGTCTAAGCACCGTACTACGTAATCCTTCTGGCCTGGTGCCAGCTCTTGCTGCGAGGTGCTACATGTTAGTAAGGACGCAAATAGCTCACTAGATGCACGAGATGCTAAGGAACATTTACGTAGGCTCCTTGTTCTATTTTGGTGCCAGCTCGAGAAGTTTCGCCTTTTCAAATGGCATGTTAAAATAATCTGGTCCAACGCTCATTGACGAGTACAATAACTCCAAAGTGGCCCACCGGAGAGAGCTGCTAATATCATTTCGGTCGGACAGCTCTACCTATTTGTACGTTGTCGCTCTTCCTATTGCCTCTTTATCACCTCCTATAATTAGCTCGCGGAAGGACACATTAACGTGCAGCCATCTGTTCTAAAAAAGGCGCTGCCGTTGGGGGCCTTCAGAAAATGACGCAAAGCACAATTCAATAGGCATTTGCGTGCAGAAATGCGATAGCCAACAAGTGCATTTGGTCATATTCGAAGTTCGCTTAGGACAAAATTTCGCTTATTAATAGGACAGGGGCGATGCGGTAGTCTCTTCCGTCCGTGTCATTCACGCAATCAGCCTGTTTGTCATTGCTGATTGCGTGAATGCCATTGAAATACGTAACAAGTAATATACTACGAATCGTGATTACTGTTTAGTACAAGTAACTGGTTGCATTATTGTACCGATACTATAATAATATTGCTGATTGCGTGAATGACATTGAACCAATTACATGTAAAAGATGGAAGTGAGTATTTTGCCCGACTGGCTAGCCGACTATACAATTATACTCCTCAACATGCATAAAATGGACTTAGCTGACGGTCTTGGCAACACTCGCTCGGAATTAATTTCTAATCCCAGACACAGCGCCTTGCCGAGTCGAGGTCTTAGAGGCCGAGATGGGGCAGGTCTCGCAGCGGCGCCCTCCGAGCGCAGCGCAGCATGTGAAGACCAACGGCTATAAATCCAGAGAAGAGTGCAAACGCGCTAGTGTCCTACCTTTATTCCGATTTAACCGTACTATACTGTCTGTACACGTATAAAACTCGAAGTTATGTTACCTAGTCCTTAAAAAAATTGCGGCATCTATTTTCTAATAAAGCTGTTCTAAAACTGCACTGTTTAGTACAAGTAGCTGGTTGCATTATTGTACCGATACTAATCCCCCAAAGCAAACGGATAAAACCCAATTAGTACCTGGACTCTATGAATAAGTTGTGTCAAATGTAGCTGAAATTCTAAATCGATTTATCGTAGCGTTTGTACTTAATTCGGGCGGATCGAAGAGCTTAATTATTGGATGAAACATTTTTTCGACGAGTAATATCTTTTTAAGCTTAAGGAAAGCTCAGATAGCCCGGCTACTCCCTTCTTCTTTTTTTCGCAGGCGGTGAGTACGTACCTCGCTACTCATACTCTCTACCACATACTTTTAAATCGTGTATTAAACTGGTACTACACAGCATATGTTTTTTATAAGTGTAATGCGAATGCAACCCTCGCCATGGGAATACAAGTAAATAACTCCATTTCCGTGGACTGTTGGCGTCATCAACAGCGGTATACAGCATGGGCTGATGCGTGCTCTTTTGTTCTTCCCACTTGTCTAAAAAAACTACACAATTTGAACTGTATCTAGTTAAAAAAAAATCTGCTTAATTTATTGATTGCTTTGCTAAACAAAACTTGAGGTTTTAAAATATTTTATTAGGGTTAAACGTCTATTTCAGAAGTGCAAAAAATGCAAGAAAGTGCATTTGGGGAAGACCCAAATCACGGATGATTTACCAAAAATAAACATAAAATGATGTTAATTCTCGTCACAAACGAGCTTTTTTGTGTGTATAACGGCTATCGTTCTTTGCTTTAGACACCTTGCAGATGTTACATGTACTTACAGTTAGTTATCCGTGCCATACTCCAGTCTATAGTGCTAGACATTCAAACCACTTGTGTGGCTTCTGGGAGTTCTTAAGGATGCCCTCGCCCGTGAGAAATGCCGTATCTGCGTGGTTCAGCTGGGGTCTGTAGAATCGATCCAAGTAGTGGTTGCCAAAGAGGTTCTCGTCGAGGCCGCCCAAGCAGCTCTGAAACTCGACAAGCCCGTCGTTCTTCTTGGACTTATGCGGGACGGCAGTGCCAGCAAGAATGCACGGAACTTGGTAGGTTGAAAGGAGTCCGACGAAGCTATCGCTGCACATCGCTGCTGCAACATTGTTACGATACGCATCCTGAGCGGCCACATAGGCAGCGTCAATGGACGGAGACGTGTGCTTTCCGCCAAAGTAAGTGGTAGATTTGCGGGACTTTGGCATGGGACACTGTCCCACTATCTCGAATAATCCCGCAGCGATGTCGTTGTTCTCGTCGCAGATGTCCATAAGATAGTCCGAAGCCATACTGCCCAACATTGGGGGGCTCAGAGCCACCCACGACGTCGTCTTGCTGAAGCTGCACTTGCCCTTAGCGAGAGCGTGAGCCATCACGAGTCCGCCCATCGAGTGTGTCACGATAATAGTATTGTCGATGACCTTAGCAGCGACGTCACTGGTACTACTCATCGAGAGCGAGAGGTCGCAGAACCTCTGTTGGAGAGTGTCATTTCTCCAACCTGCGTCATTCGTATTAAGGACAGCGTACTTGATCTCGGAGCAGCAAGGAGCGTGGCCGTGCATGTCACCGAATTTCCTCTTTGTGAGCTTCGGGCTGTCTTGCAATTGTGCTTCTTCGTTTGGGTTCCCCAAACCGTGCAGAAAGATGCACGGACGAGGTGTGGTCAGACACGTATCACACTCTGTCGCCTCCATCGCCATGTGAGCCGCTTAAAGAAGAGCAGGACAAAGTATTTTACAACTTATTAGAAAAAGCTACAACAATCTAAAGAAGTCACATTTCTAGGAGAAAAAGAATTGGCCATTTTGAAGCTTGAAACGGGGTAAGCCACTTTAACAACACGTGAAAAGACAGCCGGTATAGAGGGCGAGCCACAAGACCAGTGCGCACGGCGGCAGGGTCAAATTCGTGTTATACTATGCCGATGAGCTCCTAGTAAATAGTTTTTTTTTATTATTTTCCCTCCCCCTCAATGTTATCCGTGGCTCATGCGGCTGAAAAGGTTAGCCCTTCCCAATGCAAGTGACCGCCCTCTGCAAGATCGCTAACAACTTGAGGTTAAGCTAGTTCAAATTGCAACTAAAGTAAAATCAAGGCCTTAATGAACCCCCCCCCCGCGCGAGGTCCACCGTTTGCCCAAATCCGGTACACGTTAAATTTCATCTGCGGGATCTGCATCCATAGTGTATCCAAGCTAACTAGAAACGTGTATCTCTCAAAGCCAGGACATGCCCCTAACCCGGACTCTCCGTACCTTCACCAAACGTGTATCGACAAGGAAACGTGCATTGTAGATACACAGTACGGACTGTGAAGTGTCCATCTCGTACAAAGACGCTGTTCAAAAGATAGACGAGTCCATATAATAGTTGAAATTTAAAGAAGGAAGACACATGACTATCAGCAACTTAGCGGCATAATGAAAGCAAGTCATCTATAGAGCTGGAACAGGTGCTAGCACCCTACATCGTGTCACTGCGGCACGTTGCGCTGCTGATCCTGTGCGTCGTCACTTCCAGATTCACTCGATGCCTCGGACGCATCAGCGGCGCCAGTTACAGCAACTCGTTGTCTCGCGGGCTTTCGTGCACGGATACTACCTCGCACCTTGACGGCGGATCTGGGGATCAAGGTACCATTATTCCAGTGCTTGTGCCAGATATCAAATCATGTAGCTGTCTCGCCCTGACTAGTGTGCTTGATCTTGCTGCAAACAAACACACGTGCAGCGTCCGCATTCTTCGATGACGTCTTCAGCTTGCATTCGCCGCAGTAGAGTGTTGTCTCCCCCCCCCGAGGCTCGTTCGCACACTTCAACACCGAGCACACTTTACAGGCACGCTGTCGACGCTTCCTGGCCGCGTCTGAGTTCACTTTCCGACACTCATCTGTTTGCACGGGCACGTGCCTAGTCGCTGACTGGCGTTGCTTTGTCGGTGTTGACTGCATTCCACGATGGCGCAGCATTTGTGTCCAGTCTTCCGCTTATAGCTGGATTAGCTCAAGTTGAAGCCTCTTCAAAAATTGCACATGCGCAACCTTGGGCTTCCCGTTTGTGGTGCGCCTGCAGTTGTACAAGATGAATGCATTGATGATAGCGAGGTCAATTAGACCTAGGAATAGCGACTTGTAATATTTCTTGTACCGCCGCGCCACTTGGAGAGAGTATCTGAAATACAATACAGGAGACACGTTAGGCATTTTCCGCAAAGTTGTACATACATAATAGCAAGACTTACCTCTGCAAGCGTTGTTAATCGTGGACGTCAACTCCCCCATGTATGTCTGGTAATCTTTCATCACCCTCAGTGCCATCACTTCAGTTTGCTCTGCTGTCTGCTGATCGCGTCGTACAATTCGATCTGGCTGCCCGCTTCCTCCAGTTGCGAGAACGTGGACGCCTAGGCTGTAATACCAACGTATCGCCTTCAAAGCTGGAGCAACAAGATAGTCTGCCACTTGGAATGTCCCTTTGTCAACGTTCTTGAGCCGTTTGTTCGATGCTCGTCGTCCGATTTTCAATTTCTTCGGGAGGATGGCTTCACACAAACCTCAGCCTGGTCATAATGATTGTTCCAACAGTATAGAACTTTATTGTCAGCAACTGCATCGCAAGAACCACTGACGTGTAGAACCGATCTGTTACGACCAAGCAGAAATCACGAGGTCCTGTGGGGCCAAACACGCGGCGGAGATTCCGCACTACAGCTGCTGGACCAGATTTCGCATCCGGCACCGTGTTGTCAGCTTGCATTTGACGCTTTCCACAGTAGACCTCAAAGCTGTATCAAACACGAAAAGATAACTTGGGACCAAAAAAAACAAATGAGCGCGCCGTGAGGCACGCTCATTCTTACCGAATGCAGTAGGCTGTCTGTGAGCAACACAGCATGAACAGCTTCGTCCCCCACTTGTGGGGTTTATATTTCATGAAGACTCTCATGCGATTGAAGGTTGACCGTGAAGGAAGCATCGCTTCATCGAAAGCCATAACTGGAGGTGCGACATAATTCTCATGGAAAGTTTCGTGCAGAGCATCGATTACTGGGCGTAGTGTCCAAGCGCGATCGGTCCGCGCACGTGCGTCTCCGTTGTCACTGAAATGGAGGTTTCTTGAAATGTGAGCAAAACCATCGCGCTTGAGGAATACATTGAAGCAACCGCGAGGGACTGCACCTTCGTCGGTGGTCTTCCAATGGTACTCGAACTTCTCTTTTTTCGGCGCAATGGTGCTGGCGATCAACAACCCGATGAATACATATATCTCGCGACCAGACACTTCGGAGGTGAGTTGTAGCGACCCCTTTATTTGTTCCGGCGATTGAGCTTGAAAGTCACGGTGTTTCAACTTGCGGGCCTTCTGTTTCTTAAATTGCAAAGCCACTCGCGTGATCAAGGTTTGTATTGAGGGGTACCGGTTTCAGGCGGTAAGTACCCATAAACCGGTAGCCAAACCGGTCCAACACGATCCCGCGATAATTACGGTACGTTGATTAGACGAGTAGGGTGATTGGACGAGTGCAGAATGTTGGTGATTGGATGCACCAATTGATTGGATGACCTAGGTAATGAGGACTGTGTAAGCTCCGATAAATCAATCACTTCGGAATCTTCCTTCTTCCCCTCAAGTGTCTTCGCTCCGGTCTACTCCCCGAGTGGTGACTCTTCCCTTCGCTTCGTACAAGCCCAACGTTACCTAAAACCCGTGACTTCCATCAGGTTATGAGCCCAAGTAACATGTCCTCTGCGCAAGACGTTTCAACTAAGGTCTCTATCGACAAGTTTAACGGTGACAACTACGCGACGTGGAGCCGCTACATGCGTGGTGTGTTCCTGACCAAGTCAGTATGGCATGTCGTAAACAGAGAGACGACTCCAAGCTTCACGGACCCTCGTGCGAAGGACGAATATGTCAAGTCGAGCAACATCGCGTTCGGATTGATGCTGCTCCACATGGATGCGGACTACCACCGCGTGGTCGACAACTGCGAGGAAGCGTGGACCGCGTGGGCGCGCTTGAAGACGTTGTACGGTGGGTCGCAGAAGGCTGGTCGTATTTACTTGAAGCGACAGCTCTTCAGCATGGAGATGTCTGAAGGCGCGAATGTATTGCATCACTGCAATGAAGTTCTCAACATCAGCGCCAAGCGTAGTAGCATCGGCTCTAAGATGGAGGACGAGGACGTTGCGGTCTGCTTGTTGCGCAGTCTCCCCAAGAGCTACGAGAACGTCGTGCTACACCTGGAGATGAGTACTGCTGAGCTGAAGACGCAAGACGTTGTGAAGGTGCTCACGAACGAGCATATCAAGCGAAAGGCGAGAAGACCTCTGCGGTGAAGACTGACGACGCGACGAAGGTGTTCAGTACCGAGCGGGAGTCTCGCCAGTGTACTTACTGTGGCCATTGGGGCACGTGATTGAGAAGTGCTGGACCAAGCAGAAGGATGAGAATCGAGGAGGCCGACGCGGCGGCAACAGTCGTGGACGCGGGGCCAACAATGTCCAGTTGCGAAACGACGACTACGACCACGGCTATGATCGCGTGGCATTTGCGGCTTCGTTGGAATGTGGGTTTTTGACGGGCAAGAGCATGTCCGGGCTGTGGGCAGTCGACAGCGGTGCGACACACCATATCTGCAATGACAAGATTAAGTTTGTCGTGCTGAACGAACGAGAGGAAGGCGAGCTGAAGGTCACTGATGGCACTAGCGTTGCAATCAAGGGTGTGGGGACCATCATCGAGCGCGTGGTTCTGCCCAACGGCGATGAGCGCGAAGTCGAGATCAACAACGCGCTCTACGTGCCAAAAATGAAGAAGAAGTTGCTACCAGTGCCGCAGATCAACAAAAGCGGCAAATTTCAAGTGGTGTTCGACGGTGAAACCATGCACGTTGCGCACAAGGATTCGAAGGAAGTGGTGGCTACAGCACATCTCGTAAACGGTCTTTACTGGCTGCGCACACCAATATGCTCGATAAACGCAGTGACTTCGAAGTCGAGCATTGACTTGCACGCGCGCATGGGCCATGCTCCTATCGACGTGCTACGCAAGATGGTCAACAGCGGCATGATCAAGGATGCCAAGGCACCTTTGAAGTCAAGTGAGCAAAGTGTCTGTCGCGGGTGTCAGCAAGGGAAAATGGTCCAGAAGCCGTTCCCCAGTAACCGCGACAAACGCAGTTACGACACGTTCGAGTTGCTTCATTTCGACATCTGCGGCCCCATGGAAGAAGAATCGTTGGGTGGGAGCAAGTACTTGCTGCTCATCGTTGACGAAGCCAGTGGATGCTTGAAGGTTTTCTGCTTACGAGCCAAGTTGGACGCTGAAAAATGCCTCAAGAGCTATGTCACGACGGTACAGACGCAATTCGGCAAGCGGGTCAAGTTCGTACGCCATGACGGAGCTCGTGAGTTCGCGACAAACTCACTCAAGGTGTTCTACGAAGATCGAGGCATCGAACAGCAGACCACGGTTTCGTACGCGCACCAGACGAACAGCACTGCAGAACGAGCTATTAGGACTATCGTCACGATTGGTCGCAGCATGTTGCATCGTGCCAAGTTGTTTCTGGGGCGAAGCGGCGATGGCCGCTATCTACGCTAAGAACCGTCTTCCGTCACCCAAGATTGAAAGCAAGACTCCCAATGAGATCGTGTACAAGCCCAAGCCAAGTGTGAAGCACATGCGTGTGTTTGGTTGTCGGACGTACGTCCTAACTCCGAGGGAAAAGAGACGCAAGTGGGACCTCAAGGCTCGAGAAGGGTTGTTCATGGGTTAAGAAGAAGTGTCAAAGGCGTATCGAGTTTATGACATCGAGGCGGGGCAGGTGGTGATTAGTCGCGATGTCAATTTTGACGAATCCAACTTTGGGTTTTCAACGGCTAGTCCAAGCGACGACGACGCAGATTCTGATCTCGACCTCGACTCTCTCAGTATCAACGATACCGAAACTGCGGGCCCAACGGAATTTAAGCAGGCGGGGAAACGCAAGTCCCGCAGAAGTAACGTTCACGGCATGACTACGAGATCGCGCGCTGCACAGCAGGCTGCCGGTTTGGAGGAAGCTAGTGCTCGAGAAACCTCGTTTGAGCGTCAAACAAAGCGCCGATCCGGTGTGCGAAATGACTGTGATGTGGCCGATGAAGAAGAAAAAGACGTCGAGGATCAAGACGACGATGACGCAACTCCGCCTGTATTTTGGCGAGCATGTGCCAACGCAGTGGAAAGCTGGTGATTTAGCTGAACCGGCAACGTTCCAAGAAGCAGTAAACGGGCTCGATCAAATGCATTGGCGCAAGGTCATCCGTGCCGAACTTAAGTCGATGCGACTTCGCGGTGTGTTCCGAGCTGGCAAGTTACCGAACGGTCAACGGGCCATCGGTACGAAGTGGGTGTTCAAGATCAAACGCAAAGGGATGGTTCAATCGAGAAGTACAAGGCGCGCCTTGTAGCGAAAGGCTTCAAGCAGAAGTATGGCATTGACTACACCGAAACGTTTTCGCCCGTGGTGAAGTATGTGACGCTGCGCATGATCATTGTACCTCGGCTGGCCCCTGGACCAGCTGGACGTGGTAACAGCATTCCTGTATGGCATAATGAAAGAGGTGGTGCTCTGCACGGTGCCAGAAGGTGTCGAAATTGATGATGACTTCGACTGCCTGGAGCTGGTGAAGGCGATCTACGGTCTCAAGCAAGCATCGCGCGTGTGGAACGAAACCTTCGACAACTACGTGAGCTCCATCGGCTTTCAAGTTTCAGCATACGACCCGTGTCTCTACATCAAGATTGTGGATGATCACTATGTGCTTCTGCTGGTCTACGTAGACGACGTTTTGGTGACTGGTAGCTCGGCCGAGCTCATTGCAACCACCAAGAGCGATCTCAAGAAGCGCTTCGAGATGACCGACAGTGGCAAGTGTGCGCTCGTACTGGGCATCGAATTGGTGTACAGCGCTGACGGGAGTGTGACGAAGTGCCAGCGCCGATATGTCGACGACATCCTTAAGCGTTTTGGTATGGATGAGTGCAAGGCGGTGGTGAGTCCAGCTGATTTGAGCTCTCGACTAGTCCCAAGCAGTGCATCGACCAAGGTGAACGCTCCGTTCCGCGAGGCTGTAGGTGCACTCATGCACTTGATGACCGCGACACGACCGGACACTGCCTTTGCCGTGGGATACGTTTCTCGCTTCATGGAGAACCCACAAGTCGAGCAGTGGGCTGCTGTAAAGCGCATCTTTCGCTATCTACAAGGAACTAAGTCGCATGGAATCTGCTTCAAGCCGGGTGACAAAGTGGATTTCCGCGGGTTCTCTGACGCAGACTGGGCTGGTGACCACTCCGATCGCAAATCAACTTCGGGCTACACGTTTCTTTTGATGAGCGCACCCGTGAGTTGGGGAGCAAAAAGCAGTCAAGTGTGTCGTTGTCAACAAGCGAGGCAGAATACATCGCGCTAAGTTTAGCTATTCAAGAAGCCAAGTGGGTTCACCACCTACTTTGCGAGATTTGACGGCAGCAGGGGAATCGGGACCAGAGCTCAAGATCCTCGAAGACAACCAGTCATGCATCAAGATGACCAAGAACCCAGTGAACCATGGTCGAGCCATGCACATCGACATCAAGTACCATCACATTCGTGATGAGGTCAAGCGTGGTGAGGTCAAGCTGGAGTACTGCGAGACCTCTGTGATGCTGGCGGACATCATGGCGAAGACGCTTCCGGGGCCACGTCACAAGGACCTTACGGCGGCGCTCGGAGTCAACGCGTGTTCGCATTGAGGGGGCGTATTGAGGGGTACCGGTTTCAGGCGGTAAGTACCCATAAACCGGTAGCCAAACCGGTTTAACACGATCCCGCGATAATTACGGTGCGTTGATTAGACGAGTAGGGTGATTGGACGAGTGCAGAATGTTGGTGAATGGATGCACCAATTGATTGGATGACCTAGGTAGTGAGGACTGTGTAAGCTCCGATAAATCAATCACTTCGGAATCTTCCTTCTTCCCCTCAAGTGTCTTCGCTCCGGTCTACTCCCCGAGTGGTGACTCTTCCCTTCGCTTCGTACAAGCCCAACGTTTCCTAAAACCCGTGACTTCCATTAGTTTGCCGCAAAGTAATCATCACTTGTCCCGGCGATAGTCTACCACATGTGTGGGGTGCGAACCGAAAGAACGCTCCTACCGGTGTTTCAGCAGCAGTAAGAGCTTCAGCTGTAGGCCCCATACTCTCGGTCATAGATCCCAGGATAATCCTCGGTCAACCAATTTGGAGGTCGAGCTTGGTATGGGCCATGCAAACCGGGATAGGGAGTCACCGTAACTTGGATTCGCTCCACCCCAGTGGACCTTGACGTATTTGAGTACTTCTGAGCTCACTTTGCCGGGCGCAGTCTCGGCCACCCCACCGACTGCATCAAGTTATTCTGGGTGGACAATAAAAATCCAGGGCAACACCAGTCTCTTCAGATGCGAGTTCAGCAGGTACGATATCGTCGTCCTCATCAGAATCAAGGCGAGTGTAGTCGTCGGGATTCTCGTTCGGCAATACATTATTTGGACCATCTGTACATTGTATAATACACGATAAAGGTCAGTAACGTGTATCCGTATCGTGTAGATACACTATAAGCTAACCGTACACAGCCGGAGGAGCTTCCCTCATTTCATCTGCTCCCGCAGCACCGTTGGCGCTGGATTCGGTGTCGGACATCACATATTCGCTACCTGAAGAATCAGCGACAGCAAACTCTGCGTCAAGGTTCCGACGCGAAGGAGAGGCAGGCGCATTCCCTTCTTCACAATATAAATGAATACATTCGTTAGTTGCAGCAGTATAAACCATGTGCTGCGGCCGAACCTACCGGAATTGCCAGGCGTGTTCGGACTTGAGGATGGACTTGCCACTGGAGCGTCGTCGTCCATCACGTAAGGGGACATGGGAATGAGAGGCGAGACACTTTAGGGCTAGTCAATTGTCTGGCGTCCTCTACAATAGAGCTATCTGAACAGTACACGATAACACAAGCGTCGTAACGTGTATAGTACCAGCTCAAGCGACTTTACCTCCTAGTTCTGCATCGTTCGCACGATCTTCATCCTCAGGAACTTGGTTCTGAAGAGCAATCGCTTGCGAGTAGGCTTCACGTTGTTCAGATCTTTCACGGTTCATTTCCTCTAACCATAGCATAGCTCGTCAGCAGTACACAAACAGCAAATAACAAACTTGAAACGTACCGAGGTCACAGCGGTCGAGATAGGCCATGAGCGCTTCCGCACCCACAAAGAAGTCAACATTTGGCACACCCTTCAACGTCGTGCAGAATTTGATGTACGTGCGGTCATTTGAAAGAAACCCCGACGGCTTCTTCGAATCCCATCCGAGCTTCTTTACCTCTCTCCAGCGCGCTTGAAAGGCCATTGCAGCGTGCAGCGAAGCAGGATCTGCGTGCTTCCGGGTGTTTATTGAAATGAGCTTGAAATGAGCGGTGTGAAAACAAACCTGTTATCCCCAATAGTGATAAGTCCTGCACCCATCAAATCCCTGCCTCTTCTTATATTTTGAAAATAGTAAAATTGGAGCTTGCAATGCTATGCTCGAATTCACGGGAACGATGGGAGATCATACCTAGCCCTCGTTGACTTGAAGTTTGTATTTTGCCATGCAAACTTCAAGTGACTTTTCCTTAGCGTGTCGAATACAGCTTAAGCGTTTTGCAGAAACGTGTCTAATACAGCGTCTCGTGGTGGGGGGGGTGCTAATAGATATTTCTGTAAATGTTGACTCTTAGCAAAAAAAAGTAAGCTCACGAGTCTTTAGCGTCCTCTAATCGGACTCTGTCTTTTTCAAACCCGAGAGCAAGTTTCTTCTCCAAGTACGGCAACACCCATCTCCAGCTTGCAAATAGTAAAGTCACCAGCCACGCGATGAGCACCAACGTGTCTCTGGGGAAGGCTTCGAACAGCACTTCCTCCACCACAATATCGAGCACGCATTCCGTCATTTTTAGCGTGGAATCTGGATGTCGAACGCCTTCAAACCTCGACCAGGAGTGAAAATTCCACTTCGATCGCTCCCCCTGATGGCTCCAGACGGTATCGTACTGACTCGTGCGTCTCCATTTCTGTCGGGTGGAGTCGAAGCTTCGCTGTGTTTAACCCTTTAACTACCAGGCCAGTTTTAGGGGTCCGCAGAGACCTCTACTAGAATCCAATGAAAGCATGGAATTTTGAATTTTTGAACCAATCGTGAGAGCGCAGGAAAGAGCCGCAACCTCTTACAGCAAAATCACCCTCAAATTTGCATTACCTCAGTCTCCACACCATGGACGAAGCGGAGGTTATGTGCGATTGGTGCGGAGCACCTGTGTGTGGCTGGAAGCGGTACGGCTTCGAGCTTCAGGAGGCCGGGTGTCGCCTCCAAGTCAAGCTGTCGCGGAGACGGCGAGGGAACCGTGCTGTCCGCCAGGCACTGTGCCGATTGTATCTGTACTTGAAAAGTGGAAGCATGCAAGGGGACGTTCCCGAGTGTGTCAAACGACAATTGCACACAGTTTGGCCGGACGCCGAGAAGGTAAATATATTATGAAGCTGAAGGTAGCGTTAGTGATTCTGCGCCTGTGATTGACTTATTGGCTCGTTTCCGTGTAAATGCTATAGGGGCATCGGTCATTGCGCTGCAAACCGCGTCCAGCGCATCGCGAACTCCGTGCGAACGCGCTTTGAAGACGTCTTAGTAATGGAATGCGCTAAAACACTCTACGTGTAACCCACGTTCAGATTTGGTGCATCCATATCTTGCTTTTTTTGCCATCCCTCTAAGACTGCACAGATAGCACGTGAGCTTGCCGTTGCTGTGCTTGGTCGAGTTGGGTGTGATAATATGCAACGACGCGTCCGCTCCCACAACGTCATCCACGGTTTCGTGCTGGCGTTTCTTCTTGCGTCGAAGTTGTTGACGCCGAAGCGCTTTCTCATTGCCCGTCAGAGTGTCCGCAATTCTTTTTTTGAGCTCGCGTAGTGTCAAGGCTGTCGCTGTCGTACGCTTCAAAAGCGCAAAAGCATTGATTGTAGCCTTATCCAGCATCCACGTAAATAATGTCATGTCAAGCCTCTTCTTGCGGCGTCTGTTTGGATTCGTTGAGCGCAATTGATCGACACGGTCAACGCCGTTCATGTACCGATTGTAAACGGCAATGATAGTGGGGCCATGCATAGTTTTCGGTGCAGTACACGGTCGTCGGTCCATCGCTGAATGGGCTACAGGCTGTGGCAGCAAGCTATCGCCTCATCAGAAGTACCAGGTAGTGTCCGAGCCGATGGTGTTGCGCGTAGGTCGTTACTGTAGAAGACTACCACCTTGCGATCTTTGTATACACCATATCCAGCTCGGTCCGCAAACTGCAAAGTTGGTTGGTACTTTGTTTGGCGTGCTGCTGGCAAATTTATCTGTGTTTTCTGATGAGCTGCTTCTTTTTTCTTCCAGCCAGACTCTGCATCGACTGCCGCTACAAGTTCCCATTCTCCTCTATCTGCTTTTGCCACTCGCTCCACAGAAGCCTTCACAGCTATTTTGTTCCACTTTTTCAATTAGGTTGAGCCGGACGGTGCCGATCGTATGCATCTCGCAATCCGTGAACGCAAGTATAGCTTTAGCAAACGTGTGTCGTGTATAAAAGTTGCCCGAAACTGTAAGCCGATAACCACTTGGTGATAGGAAAATCTTTGCCTGATGCCCCACCATTGCTAGCCACAACGCCGTCGCTGAATCAACTCCCACGGCAACTTCATCGCGACGCAGCGTGTTGAAAAGCGGCGTGCGAAGTGATGGAAACTGCTGAACGTATCGCTGTGTTGGCGTAGTTGTCTGTGAATTGCCCGAGGAGTTGTCCCAGAGCGTATGCACGTAAAGCGAGTCCCAACCGACCACTGCGTAGAAACGCACTCCGTACTTGTCGGGCTTGGACGGCATATAAGTCCGGGCTTTCGACCTTGCCTTGGCCGCCACCGTCATTTCATCAATGCTGCTCACTCCAGTAGGCACAGCAAACTCGGCGAATCGTTTTTGAAAGTGTGCCAGTATCAACCTGCTGTGCCACAATGGATCATGTTGCTTATCGAGTGTCGGGTCGTTAGGAGGGTGTAACTGTAACGCGGATCGGATATTTTGAAATCTTGTCCTCGGCATAGTATCTATAAAGGCAGCTTGACCAAGAACACGACTGTCAGACCAATACTCAGCAATACAACTCAGCGAACAAATACTTATTGCGATTTCAAGCCCGCAATATGCATTGAATTCACTCTCAGTAAGTTTTGGCTGGCAGTAAGAACATCCGATGTCCATGTCAGGAGACTGTGGCAAAACGTGGCCGTCACAAATAGGGCAAACAATCCGTATTCAGCGTTTTCACGGTAGGCTTTCGCCACCGTTGCGTCAGCAACGACATGGAGCCCACTCTGCATGTCCAGTGCAACCATGTAGACTCTGCCATACCGACTAGGCTCATAGATGCTTGGCACACTGCTACGGGCTGTCTTCGCCGGTATCTGCTGCTGCTCTCCGCTTGTTTCGCCCTGCTGTGAGCTGACTTTGGGGCTGCTTGTCGACTGGAGAAGCCCCTGCATGCTGCTACTGCGAGGGTCCGTCTAGGCATCTGCTGAAGGTGCTGGCGTGTTGATGTGTTGGGCTTGAAGGTTGAAGGCTATCTTTAGGAAGCTGCTGGTAGCCATTCGACGTGAGTACACTCGTGGCTTCCTGCAAGTCGACGGGCTCGATGTGCAGCTCGTCGTCTACTAGCGTTTCCCACGCGTCGACGAGGGAGTCCATCGCAATGTCATCAATGCAGTACGCTTGCTGATGCTCCAGTGCTTCCCAATCTCCGGTCAAAGCGCTGTCCATTGTTTCCGTGGTAGAGGGAAGGAGAAAACCTTAGTGACGCTTATATCGCTGCTTGTGGTCCAAAGCGTACAGAATTTGATGGCCCGGCTAGCTCGTGGAAGAGGTCTGTATGGACCTCTACGGCGACGCACGATCGCCTGTCGCGCAACTGGACAGATTTTCAGCCAATACGCGGCTTAGATTACCGTCTGCTATGGGTCTATAGGGACCCGTAAATGAGCCAGTGGTTAAAGGGTTAACACTCGTCTACGAGGCGGCATGGGCGTAATTTTCGCGAAGTTTGTAACGTCAAAGTCATTAGTGCTTGCAACTGGTAGCGGCAGCAGCACTCGCTCCACATGCAGCGCAAAGATCGACGGCTGTGTGGATGGGTATGGCACTATAAAATCGTAAGCTGTGGCGGGCTGCAGCTCCGAGACACGGAATAACTGTGGGACGCCGTTCTGCACGCCCTTTGGTGCCAGTGGGGACTCTGGGCGTAGATCGATCACAGGGAATGTAACAGCGAGCGTCTGCTACTCATTCACTTGCAGAGGTCGCGTACGATGTCTGGGCAGTGAGCACGACGGAAGAAGTAAGCGTCAACACAATACTCGCCCCACACTTGGCAGATTGGGAATTACTGGAGCTCCACACTTGGTGGACTCCGCTAGAAATAAAAATGTCAACCAAGTATCTAACGGGCGAGTGACTACCAATATTAAAAAGACATCTAGTTTCTGAGACTGTGCCGTCCAGGTCTCATACTCCCCCGAAACTTGAAGTCTTCCTTAGATGGTTTGAGCGTCATCTGGCCCGGATTGTTGTTCTGGCTCTTCATCTGTATTTTCATCGACTTGAGTACACAGGCATTCGGCACCGAGTTGCTTTCGATGATGGCAAAATTATCTCTTACCCAATGGCTTGGTTAAGGCATCAGCAGGCATGGCCTTAGACGGCATGTGTTTTACCACAATGTAACCAGCATCGACATAGTCAATAATCTTGTATATTACCAGTCTTCCTCATCGTGGACGATCTCATCCATCTCGATCTCGGACTTCAGTGTGCTTAAACGAACCCGAACGACTCGATGGACCCGCACTCTGGGCGCTGGGCGGTCACCATCTCAGCTAGAAAGTCAGGGTGTTTGGTGGCAAATGGAATAAAAGGTTGGAGTAGCCGGTTGCGGGGCCTGCTTACGACCTCCATTGCAAACTTTGCAGGTGTAGCCGTAGTCGGGACCTTCTTCAGAAACGAAAGCGCAGATTTTAGCACTTGACGCCATCGTGGAAAGGTGAGAGGCGAACAGAGGCTTGTTGTGCGGTGTCGTACAGCTACTGAATAACATAATGACAAGAATTAATCTAGAAACCACGTTTAAACTGGTATGAAAGCACTGCGAGATGGATGGTCCACGACGACAGCGTACGGCTGTCTTTACTTCACTATTACTTCTTAATTGGGTATTGTTGTCCAATTTTTGTATTTATTTTAAGCAAACCTTGTCAAAAATAAATTGTATCGAAATTTAAACCAGGGAAGAGCTCCCAAACTTGGATATTACTATTGGAAGGATATTTTGAAAGAGTACTGGTAAGTTTAGCGACATATTTTTGAGTTTATGAAAAGTGTTAATTTTGACAATGATGTTCCTCCTCGCTGTCCTGGCCTTCTTGGCCGCCACCTCTACCTCTACACCGACA